CGGAGAAGATGAGAAGAAGGTTGCAGACAAGGCAAAGGATGACAAAGAGAACAGCAGCTTGGAACTCAACCTGTCCATCTCCAGCTTCCTGTCCAAAACTAAAGTGCCTGGAACGGTCTCCGTACAGGTGAGAAAGACTTGTGGTTTCCTCTCACTGAGAGAGCAGAAAATGTGCAGTGCTCTTGAGAAAAAATATTTTTTTATTTTAGGATACCAAACGTCAAAAGAAGACACTAAAAAAGACCCGTAAATTCATGGTGGATGGAGTTGAAGTTAGTGTGACGACATCCAAGATCATCACTGACAACGATACAAAGAACGAAGAGATGAGATTCCTCAGGTATCTACACTACTTTGATAATCTCTTCACGAAGTCTCAGACTACAATTTGGGCATTTCTATTAATCAAATCTTTTAATCAAATTTTTAAATTCCTGGCACACCAGTCACATCACATTTCAGCCTGTAGGGGATGCTAAACTCAGCTAGAAGAAGAAGATAAACAATAAGTATAGGGTGATCTCATTGCTTTGCTTGGAATATTGAACAGCCCACATTATCACCTGAAAAGATGTTTCTAACAGAGCTAACATTAGTTACAACAGTCCTTGTACAGACCCCAGAGCTAACATTAGCTACAACAGTCCAGGTTAAGACTGTAATGTATTCATTTCATAGACCAGATGATGGGGTTTAGAGCCAAAATTGAAATGATTATAATTGCTGGGGCATTTGTACTTATCTGTGTTAAGTTGAAAATATTGGGTCAAATATTCATATTTGATAAAAACCTGAACAATCAATATGACTTCAAAACCCGTAAATGTATTTAATTATTATTGTGAATCTGGTCAGCCAATGTCTTTCTCCTCTTTGTTATATTGTTGTTCATTTGGCTTCTCTCTTCACCTTCCAGGCGACAGGAGCTGAGAGAGCTGCGTCTACTGCAGAAGGAGGAGCAAAGGGCACAGCAGCAGCTCAGCAACAAGCTGCAGCAGCAGAAGGAACAGATCTACCGCCGCTTTGAACAAGAGACTGCAGTGAGTTGTTGACAAAAACTTTCTGTCCATAGATTTTAAACCTGTCACGGCAAAAGAGGAAAAACAGCAGAAGAGGAAAAAAAACTATAGTCCATGAGTCGACAAACATAGATGCTGTAATTAGGGACGTACTGTAACAATGAATCGTAATTGGATTAAATATTGATACAAATGCATGATAATTTGCATCAGTCGAAATAAAAAAATAATAATTGTGAACCAAGACATAAGGAGTAGGCTGCGTTATCTCAAAAGGGTCACTAGTCACACAATGAGACTACACACTCACTGGTACAGTAGGTAGCTGCAACATTGGTTGTGACCTGCTATTAAACCAAGTTTGACTTTAAATAAGAGGAGATAGTTTTTTTTGTTAACATAATCTCTTACCTATAGCTAGCAGTTCTGACCGACTAACTCATTTTACTAACATAAGAATGATTCTCTGCGAACATCAGAGCAAGAGGCGTCAGTACGACCAGGAGGTGGAGAATCTGGAGCGTCAACAGAAGCAGACGATCGAGAGGCTGGAGCAGGAACACACCAACCATCTGAGAGACGAGGCCAAACGGATCAAAGGCGAGCAGGAGAAGGAGCTGTCCAAGCACCAGAACATGCTGAAGAACCGCAAGAAAGAGGTCAGGAGTCGGCTGGTAGAGTTCAGTTGTGAACTTTGTCTGGTTGTGTGTTTCAGTCAGTGTGTATCACCACCAGCCATGCTGATCAATATTTCTCTCTGAAAATGTACATGTATATAACCTGCATTTGCTCTAGTCAGTTACTCTGACATTATTACATAACCCATCCTCAGGAACATGAGTTTGTCCAAAAGCAGCAGCTCGATTTGGACAGCGCTCTGAAGAAGATCATCCAGCAGCACAAACATGAGCTGGCCACCATCGAGAGAGACTGCCTCAACCACAAGCAGCAGCTTCTGCGAGGCAAGTGGATTAGTTTTAGTGGAGCTTCACTCAGAGTCACAACATTCACAGCTAATCAAGTAAACAGTAAAAAAACAATACCTTAATATTCATTTGTCTGTGTGTGTGCATTTGCCTTCAGCCAGAGAAGCTGCTATGTGGGAGCTGGAAGAGCGCCATCTGCAGGAGAAGCACCAGTTGTTTAAGCAGCAGCTCAAAGACCAGTACTTCATGCAGAGACATCAGCTGCTCAAGAGACACGAGAAGGTACAGGACCGTTCTCATCCGTTTCTCATTTCTTTCATGCATTGAAATGAATTGAGTGTCATTTCAATTAATCCACTGCATGGACAGACAAAATGTGCCAAATTCTCTTTAAAAATATAGTTTAACTTTAATCTTGTATATTTTATTCATGTAATTTTACCCAAAAACTCTACATCCAGCCAATACTAAGCCATCCCATCGGTCAGATTTTTTGTGCAAATAGTTTGCCCACCTGTGGCATAGAGACATCCAAACCTACAATCCTTTGACCTCTGTCTGTCTGCACCTTTACAGGAGATGGAGCAGATGCATCGCTACAACCAGCGTCTCATCGAGGAACTGAAGAACAAACAGGCGCAGGAGAAAACCAGGCTTCCTAAGATCCAGCGGAGTGAAGCCAAGACACGAATGGCCATGTTCAAGAAGAGCCTACGAATCACCAGTGCTGTCATCACCCCTGAGCAGGAGAGGGAGAAGGTCAAACAGGTACAAGTTGTGACACAAGTGGAAGTGAAGCCAGAGATTTTGTGCTGACGTCTGACCCTGAGCATCCCTGTGGTGTAGTTTGCAGTGCAGGAGGAGAAGAGACAGAAGAACGAAAGGCTCCACCAGCTCCAGAAACACGAGAACCAGATGAGAGACCTGCAGCTGCAATGTGACGCCAACATCAGGGAGCTTCAACAGCTGCAGGTCAACCTGAAACACACACACTTAAAGACTTCAAGAAGTTCTGAATGTCTCAGAAGATCCATTTTAAACATCAACCTCCTCTTTTTGTGGGCTGTAGAATGAAAAGTGCCACCTGCTTATTGAACATGAGACCCAGAAATTAAAGGAGTTGGACGAGGAGCACAGTGTTGAGCTGAAGGAGTGGAGGGAGAAGCTGCGACCAAGGAAGAAGGTGAAGGGTGAACCTTTTTTACTGCCAGGACCACGAACTCTGCTGCGGTGCCAGGATTTATTTTAAAATAATAAATGAGGAATTTTTACTTTTTTTTTTTACAACCCTTGGTTATTGTGTGTAAACCTTGCAGTAGTAAAACGGAGCATAATAATTTATATAGTATTTATATACTATACAATGTATGTAGTATTTGGACAGATTGATGAAGGCTATCAATCAATCAGAGCTGTTGAGATATACAAGGAGTTTTTGTTGAGTTTGTGTCACTGAGATGAATCCGAACCACAGTCATAGAGTGACACAGTTTTACCACCAGGGGGAAGCACTGGTGGATGGACAATTATGGAATGTTCTGAATGTACAACTAAGGTTTTCTTCATGGACTTTAGTGAGAGAAGGTGATCCTTATGCTGAAAAAAAAAATATATATATTTTTAAGTTAATGGAAAAAATGTTCCATCACTGGCGATAGCAGCGAATCAGGTGACGTTATCACTTGGAGTTCATTGTTTCTCCTGTCAACTACAGGCTCTGGAGGAAGAGTTTGCCCGGAAACTGCAGGAACAGGAAGTGTTCTTCAAGATGAGCGGAGAGTCCGAGTGCCTCAACCCCTCCACCCAGAGCCGCATCACAAGGTTCTATCCAATCCCTAGTGTCCACTCCACTGGGTTCTGACAACAGAGAGGAAACCTCCAGGTCTTGTACATACACACAGACAGACACTGTGACATCCTGAGGACGGTAAAAGTGAAGCTGCTTCATCCTCCGACTGTTACTTTCTCCAGCTGTTATGATGTTTTTACTCTTATACTGTGGTTTTTCAAATGAGATTAATGAAGGACAAGCTAAACTGTAGTGTTTTATGGAGGTGCTCTCTGTTTTTTAATTAAAAAACAGATGATGTGCCTGTAGATTTCTTTTAAATCCAAACAACTTTGCTGCTCGAATCTTCTCTCATTTAGTCTTTTGCACAAGTGACAGAATTGTATTGCCACTAAATTTGGAAGTAAATGAAATAAATAACAAGGTAGAATTGTAGAAGTAGTGTTAATTTTTAATGAAACCTTTTTAACACAACCTTAACTGTTTTAATATTATGCTGGGTTTTTGTCAGATCTTGTCTTGTGTGTGTCAGTGGTAGGTTGTGAGTTCGAGTCTTGTCCTGTGTGTTGATGTCAACGTAAACTGGAGGACTTTATATAAATATCAGTTTTTCCAGGATTCAACTTCCTGTTAAAGACCTTCACACCTCAGTGTACAGCAGGGGGCGACAGCCAGCAGTTAAAAATGAAGAAGAGTCAGGAAACAGTCAGGAACCAGGTGAGAAAGTTATTTACGGTTTGAGTCACTGTAGCAGGAGAGCGCAGGAAAACATTTTTAGAAAGCATTTCAACACTGTCACAAACATTACTTTCAGACAAACAGCACAACAAAAATTTATATACTTTCAGACAAACAGCACAACAAAAAATTATATTGATTTTTTATTATTATTATTCTGGCAAAAGAAAAACAAACATGTTCAATCAGACCAGCAAAATATTAACTAATTCGTTTAGTTTATTCTGACCTGTGATTGGAAAATTTGTAATTCCCTGGAATCGTCTTTAATGCTACTCTATGGAGGAAAGTTGATCACCAATCACCTGACAAACAATGATCCAACATGGCTGCCTCCATAGGGAAAACAGTTCTCTGACAGTGAAAACAGAAGTGCTTTATATAAATGGGGTTCAGTGCCAGAGTGGTCTGATGTGGTGAGTAAGGTCTCATCATCTGCCTCCATTTTACTGTTGCTATTATGTGTCAATTCACGTTCACGTATTTTAAAATTAGTGGATACATTTGGGCAGAAACCAATTAAATTCACTACCGCATGCAGTACTTCGGCAGATCCTTAGGGGTCGCCCGCCCGCCAACTCTTGATGTCTGCTTTAAAGGAGTGCAATATGCACCTTTTTCTAAATGTTCTCTGCAGATATCGACCACAATGTGGCTCCGTTGCTACTCTTTCCTCAGTTGTGCACTTTTTGTGCAAACAGATTTTTTTATAAAACTCCAACACAATCAAATTCATTACGTCCATAAAAAACTATTATATAGTTTTTAGTCTCTGTGTGTATTGTAAACTGTAAATAAATGTTTTCCTTGGTCACATGTTTGTGTTTAATCTTCACTGATACAGAAATGTCACCTTTCATCCAGTCCCTCACTTGAAAACCTCATTGAAAAATCCTACACGGACCCCAGATTATGTGATTTAATCCCTGATTTCCCCAAAAGAAGTACAGGAAATGTTGAGGACAGACAAGTAAAAAAACAACAACATTGTTAAAGTCTTTCTCCAGAAACCGCTTGGGTATTTACACCAAGAACCCTTGGTGTAAAGAACACATGACCTCCGGTCTGT